TGGACCTCTTCACCAGTCCAAAGTATGGCCTACGATGGCGGCATGGACCATCACACTGCCAGATGTGTTGGCGGTACTGGTCCACTTCATCATGAAAGCTGTGGTACACCTGCACAATGAATAGAGGAGAATAGTGTAATGATTTCACTACCCTATGATTCTGATTTTCTTCTTCCTCAGATGTGTAGATACAGCCTTGTATTTCTGATTGCTTTAAACTTTTTTCATGGACATTTGAAATTTGTGGATTGCTGTTTAGTTTTATGGAAATTTAACTTTCCAACCTTTCATTAAATAAGTGGATTGCTTTAAACTTTTTTCATGGACATTTGAAATTTGTGGATTGCTGTTTAGTGTTAATTCTAACTCAAATCCACTTAAGACAATCCTTCATACCCAAATAGGTGATAACATTTTGTGAATAGGTTAACTTTTGTACAGTACAATGAAACACTGGTGAAACTAAGAGGCTAAAAGCCTCCCCTCAAGATTTGTGATTGGTTATGTTAACATTCAGTAATGAACACTACACCATAAAGGTAACAAATTTAGCCATACAAGGTATATGAGAGGTGCTATACTATTTGAAATCCTTTGAAATTTAACTAAATATCTACCAAAACTGCCCCATCCACACCAAATCTGCTATGCAATCATTAATTTCAATATCCTTTTCTTAAGATCACTAGAATATTGCTTTACTTACAGAAATTTTTGTCCCAGCCACGCCATTGATACGATACATATGTTTGTGGAACTCAGGACCATGGCCATCACGATCTCTGTTGTTTGCCGTCACAAACAGGTAAGCATGAATCATTTCATGCTTTGGTAGAGAAAAGAATAAGATTACATCAGCCATCAGAAATAGCTAAACTGTTGTGTGGTGTGGTGTGGTGTTTGGGTGGGTGGTGGGGTAGTTTGGGTGGGTTTTGGGTGGAGGGTGGGTGGGTTTTAGAGTGGGTATTAGAGTGGGTGTTTTTTTTTTTGCGTGGGGTGTGGTGTGTGTGTGTGTGGGTGCTTGCGTGTGTGCGCGTGTGTGTGGCTGCGTGCATGCATGTACATTTGTGTGTGTATGTTCATGTGTGCGAGTGTGCATATGTGTGTGCGTGTTTATATGCGTGTGTGTGTGTTTCATTCATTGCCTAAAATTTATACCTGCATGCAAAAAAGTATGTGGCTAATACTTAGCACTCTGCCCTATTTTACTCCACCAAACAATACAAATTACATATGCACAGTATCATTGTACATAAACAATATCATAGGCTTCAACTGAAGAAGTAGCAATGCTTTGAAAACAGTGACTTTTCAGGAGAAAAATGCAACAAAATATTAAATGTAAAATATTACATACTTAATGGCTGTATAAATTTACAATCTATAATACACTCACACACAAAAAAATGGTAACCTTTAAACCTGTATTCATGAAAGAAATGATAAGTATACAAACACCAGATTTTACTCCATATCTTTGAAAAAGAAAACAGGAAACAAAATGAAATATCATGAACACATACTGGCACCTCAACTGCCCTAAACATTCAGATTTCTTTCTCACTTCTGATGAACTAGCATAACAACAATATAAAAGCAAGTACACCATACCAGCAATGTCTCAATCATGTCTTTGCGTGGCCTAAGCTTCAACAGAGGGAGTGAGAGACGGATGGAGCAGAGACCACCTCGCCCTTCATAGCTGCACACACCTGCACATCTGAAGTTACAGACAGTAACGTTATACTTTTGAAAGAATGCACAGAGGGGAGTAGGGAGTCCCGAGAAGAAAAAAAACAAACTGCCAATGGGCAAGGTATCAATGCATATTGAATTCACATTACTTTTACACATGCATTGATGAAAAAAAAAAAAAAAAAAAAACTGTTTTAAACGGATATTTTCTTCTGCAATAATAATATATGTGAATAACATCAACAACAAAAAAGCACTCCTTACAAGGTCATTCTAGGGCTCCACTTCACCTCCACTTGATACAGACGACCCCAAAAGAACTGCTTGTCAAATGTGAGAAAGAGTGTGTGGAGGTCAGGGTTAGGGTCAATCAACTCCCAGGACGGGTCAATCAGGGACACGGACAGCTTCTCTTGAGGAGGTTCATCTAGGTTCCCAAAATTCTTGCGGTTTGTTTTACTGCTTGAACCTGGGGAGGGTAAAGGTATTTGGAAATATGATGTCTATAAATATGTAAGAATGTATGTATGTATGTATGTATGTATGTATGTACACACAACACACACACACACAAACACACACACACAACACACACACACACACACACACACACACACACACACACACACACACACACACACACACACACACACACACACACACACACACACACACACACACACACACACACACACACACACACACACACACACACACATATTTCAGCAAAGTTGAAGCTCTACTATGCCCCCAGGTTATGGTACCACTAACTTTGTGATTGATATATTAGGGCATATCTTTAGTA